TGCGAAGGAATTCAAAGGAAAGAGGACAGTCTTTTCAACAAATTGCGTAGGAATAACTAGATATCCATACAGAAGAATCTTGATCCTATATACAAAAATTATTGCAAAATAAATATCCAAGGACGCGTAGGTGGCTCAGTCGGTTAAGCATCTGCCTTCAGCTCAGGTCATGATCCCAGGGTCCTGGAATCGAGTTCTGCATTGGGCTCCTTGCTCAGCGGAGAGCCTGCTTCTCCCTCTGCTTGCCGCCCCCCTGCTTGTGCACTCTCTCTCTATCAAATAAATAAAGAAAATATTTTAAAGATTTATTGATTTATTGATTTATTTGACAGAGAGAGACAGTGAGAGAGGGAACACAGGCAGGGGGAGCAGGAGATGGAGAAATAAATAAAATCTTATAAAAAAAATTAATGCAAAATGAGTCATTGACCTAAATTTAAAAACCTGAAAATATAAAATGTTGAGGAGAAAACATAGGAGTAAGCCTTACTGATTTGGGGCTAAACAAATATTTCTCAGATATGACACCAAAAGCATAATCCGTTAAAAAAAACCTGATAAATTGGACTTCATCAAAATTAAGAATCTGCTCTTCAAAAGGCAGTTAAGAAAACGAAAAGATAAACCAGAGACTGCAGAAAATACTTGTAAAATCATATGTCTGACAAAGGGATCCAGAATTTACAAAGAACTCTCAAATTTAATAGTATGAAAAACAACCCAAGTTTTATTATTTTTTTAAGTAGGCTCCACACCCAGTGTGGAGCCCAACGTGGGGCTCCAACCCACAACTCCAAGATCAACACCCCAGCCGAGATCAAGAGTCAGATGCCCAACTGACTGAACCAGCCAGGCACCTCAAAAACAACTCAATTTTTAAAAATGGGCAAAAGACCTGAACAGACACTTCCCCAGAAGATATAAATAGATGGCAAATTAGCATATGAAAAGATGCTCAAGATTATTAGTCATTAGGGAAATATCAATTAACACTACCCTGAGATACCACTACATACCTACTAGAATGGCTTTTTAAAAAACACAACCTGGGATGCCTGGGTGGCTCAGTGAGTTGAGCAGCTGACTCTTGGTTTCTGCTCAGGTCACGATCTCGCAGTTGAGAGATCAAGCCCTGCATCAGGCTCTGCACTCAGTGCAGAGTCTGCTTCAGATTCTCTCTCTCTTTCCCACTCATGCGTCTCTCTCAAAGTTAATTAATTAATTAATTTAAAAAACACAACCTAACAGTACCAAGTGCTGCCCAGGATGTGTAGCAAATAGACCTGCCCCACACTGCTGGCAGGAATATAAAACAGAATGACTACTTTGGAAAACTGTTTGGCAGTTTCTTACTAAGTTAAACATACCATTGCCATGGTATCCAGAAGTCCCACTCCTAGTATTCACTCAAGTGAAATAAAAACTTATTCCCACAAAAACCTGCACACAAATGCTTTTGGTAATCTTATTCAGAACTGCCAAAACCCAGCCCAGATGTCCTTCAATGATTAGGTAACACACAGTAGCATAGTCATCAGTGAAATACTACTCAGCAACAAAAAGAAACAAACTACCGCTACCCTCTGAGATGTGCTCATCCAGATTCTTTCTGGAATCTGAAAGAACTCCAGATTCAAAAGGCTCTGCACTGCGGGATTCTATTCATATGATGGTCTGGAAAAGGCAAAGCTGTAGGGCCTGAAAAACAAATTAGCTATTGCCAGGGCTGGGAGGGGGAGGGGGTTAACGGCAAAGAGATCGCATGGGGGAACTTGAGGGGATTACAAAACATTCTATATGTTGATTGTGGTGGTTTGCACTTGTCAAAACTCATGGAACTGTTCACTAAAATGGATGAATTTTACTGTATTAAAAGATATCCCAATAAACGTGACTTTAAAGAATCTAAAGCGCAAACTATGAAAGGAAACAAATAAAACAAGAGTGGAACCTCACACCCTATGGATGGCTGCTATCGAGGAAGAAGAAGGAGGAGGGGGAGGAGGAGAAGGAGAAGGAGGAGAAGGGGAAGAGGAAGTAGAAGAAAATATGTGTTGGTGAAGATGTGGAGAAACCGGAACCCTTGTGCCCTGTCGGTGGAAATGCACAATGGTGCAGCCACTATAGAAAACAGCGTGACAGTTCGTCAAAAGATTAAAAATAGAATTACCATATCATCCAGCTATTTGTGGGTATATACCCCAAAATAATTTAAAGCAGGGTCTCAAAGAGATCTTTATACACCCGTGTTCCTAGCAGCATTATTCACAATAGCCAAAAAAGGTGGAAGCAATCCAAGTGTCCATGGATAGATGAATAAACAAAATATGGTATAAAATAGAGTATTATTCCGCCTTAAAAAAGGAAGAAAATTCTGACACAGGCTATGACATGGATGGCCCTTGAGGACACTATGCTAAGTGAAATAAGTCAGACACAAAAAGACAACTATTGTATGATTCCACTTACACGAGGTACTTAGAGCAGTCACATTTCTAGAGGCAGAGAGCAGAAGGGTGATTGCCAGGGCCTCGGAGGAGGGGGAAATGGGGAGATGATGTTTTATGGGTACTGAGCTTCAGTTTTGCAAGATGAAAAAGAGTTCTGGAGATGGATGGTGGTGATGGTTGCACAACAGTGGGAATGTGTTTAACTCTACTAAGCTGTATACTTAAAAATGGTTAAGTTGGTAAATTTTATGTGTATTTTGCCACAACTAAGGAGAAAAAGACTGGTGGTTTTCCACTCAAGAGCCTTGGAGTTGGTCCACAAGGCTATGTGTCATTGAATAAGTCTCTCTCCCCACCAGTGGGTTTCCTGTGATGGAAGGACCAAACAAGACGGAACATGGAAAATTGCTGTGGGAGTCTCTGCTGGGGTAGAGTCTGGACATGGAGAACTCCCTGCCCTGTGGGGGTGAAATGCTCAGACAGACACCACTTCCGAGGGAGGGGACCACATGAGGGGGAAAGCGTGGACTAGAGCAGAGTGGCAGGGCCGGCCGGGCCAGGCCCCCGGCACCAAATCTGGCCACCTTGCCTTGGCTGCCAGAGCCCTTTCAGGGGTCCCCGGACCTTCAGGACAAACTCCAAGCATCCTGGTGGTAAAGCCCTGAACAGTCAGCCACTGGCACTCTTGGCCCCTCTTTTCTACTCTAGCAACACATAACTGTTCATAATTCTTTTCCACACCTATGTTTTCAAAATTCCCTGTTTTGAGAATGCCCTGCCTACCTCACACCCCTTTGCCTGGCCAACTTCTACTCCTTCATTCCTCATTACCGTGTCTACGAAGACTTATCTGACCTCCTCAGGCTGGTCTTCTGTAGTCCAACGGCCCCTGGGATTACCTTTGTCATTGATAATGCTGTTTACTTCACTTTTTCAAAAAATACTTATTGTGACCTACCAGGCTCTAGGGGTTTATCAATGAATAGAACAGACAAAACTCTCTGCCCTTGAAGAGCCCATATTCTAGTGGTACTTCCCCCCCAGGCCGGTGAACTTCTTGAGAGGAGTCATGCTCTGCCTATAATGTGGCTATCCTGAGTGTGTAGCACACGGTGGGTTCCCAGGCCCTTGGCACCCGGGGGCTGAGTGGCAGTTGTAGATGATCCTGATACAGCCCACCAGAGTCCAGGTGGTAAGGGCTGAAATCATGCCGGCATGAAGAGTGGTGCCTGAGCAGGAAGAGGAGCCAGAAGTAGTGGGTTGGACAGAAGGGAGAGGGAGCGTCCCCCACAGCTTCCCTCTCGAGTCACCTCCAGGTTTCTTGCCTGGGTACAGCATGTTAACCTCCCCCCTTCACCCTAATAATAAAGGACATTGACATGGATGAAGCTGTTCTGTAGCCTCGGCTTGGTGTGTCACCCCTAAAAGGCAGAGCTAAGCACCCCCTGCACACATACACCTCTTTGCCCTAGAGGTAGTACAGTGGAGAGTTCGGTTCCCACGCTCGGTTGGGTATCAGACTGGCTGGCTGACTGGGGTGGTGCCAGGAAGCTGTTCTTCACAGGCTCTTCCACTCATTGCTGCGGCCGGCTGGGCAGATCCTTCCGAGCAGCCCTCGTCTGTCCCAACCCTTCACCACCACCCCCTCCCTGCCCCCATCTCCTGCCATGGCCAGTCTGCCCTTCCCTCACCTCCTTCAGGTTCCTGCTCAAATCTCATCTGGTTGGCGAAAGCTGCCCATTCCAGCCTTTTTAATACTATCAAACCTTCTACCTTTGCTCTCCCTTGACCCTTGGCCCTGTTTACTTTTCTCCCCACACTTATTTCCCTCTGACATGACAGTGGTGTCCTGGAACTGACTCGTAAGGGCTTGCAAAAGCCTATTATGCTTCTACGAACTCTGCTGACTGGTCGTTAAGCATAGCGATCATTAAAAATCAAATTATACAAACTTAAGTTAATGATGTTATAAACAAAGGTGAAAAATGCTCAAACTCATCACTTTCCAATTGTTTGCTACCTTTTGCTACTATCTATGTTCTTGAGAGTCTTCACATCTGGGGAACTGCAGTAGCTGTAACGGCACGCTACCATGCCTTTCCATTCAACTCTGCCTTCAGTGACATCACACTGGTAGCTTGAAATCAGCCTGGTAGGAGTTTTTGCCCCAGAGGCACAGGTACTTGTAATAAATCAGGTTTTGATTTATTATTTTGTTGACTGTCTACACCAGGGTTTGATCATGGGCCCAATCTAATCCAACTATCTTTGTAAATAAAGTTTTATTGCAACACAGCCATGCCTACTCATTTGCATAGCAACTGTGGCTGCTTTCACACCACAACGGCAGAGCTGAGCACATACAGCCTGCAAAGCCTGACGTATTTACTATCTTGCCCTTTACAGAAGAAATTTGCTGACCCCTGGTCTAGCCTTAAGAGACTAATGGAGATGTTAATAATACAATTAAATGTAAACACATATGTCCCGTCTATAGCTAGTACATCGTAAATAGCACACCACAAAAAAAATTTGAGAAAATATACTTCTGGTATTTGAAAACTCTGATCCAATACAGCAGATAATTTGATATGTCACTGATGAGTGAGTGAAATTCAAGCATTTTTATTCTTTCACTTTTGTACTTTCTTCTTCCTCTTTAGTGTTAAGTGAAAATGTCAACATTTATGTTGGTGCTACATTTGTTCATCCATTGCAACCACAGGTTGGTTATGGATATGAGTTAGGCAAAATCCAAGAAAAACATACTTTAAGAATGAACTGGCTCTTTGGAATTTACAACAAAGAGTACTGTAGAATTTTATTATTTTAGATTTCTATCAGTACAATTTATAATACACACACACATAGATGAACATTTTGTTTCAGAGAGCCAAATGTTAAACATTTACAAGCACACACAATGTTTTGTTTTCCCTCCACTAGAATGTAATTCCTTGAGGGTAAGAATTGTCTTTTATTTCAGTGCTTAGAATAACAAACGTAGCAGGTGCACGGTCAACATATGACACGGATGAACAGATGAACATAGTTGGGAATGCCTGGTTTCATGCGTTCACTGTCAGACCTTAAATTTCCAGCTCCACCATTATCCAGCTGTGTGGCCTTGAGTAAATTACTTAACCTCTTTGAACCTTGGCTTCTTTATTTAAAAAGAGGAGATAATTCTCTTACCTCACAGGGAGGTGTTGACAATATATGCCTCTGTCTGGTACCTACTAGGTTTTTCCACAGATGGGGAGTTTCCTCCTCCCCCTCCACCCCTGCCACACACATACTCCTTGGAGACCCAGCCCTGCTGCTGTCACAAATTTCAGTGATGTCACAGCTCCCCTCCCTGGGAGCTCCAGCACAGCCATCCTGATGGCCAGCCTGAGTGCTGGCCGAATTGAGAGGGGCAGGGAGCAGGGGGTGCCTGGTACCAGTCTTGCTCCACCTGTCCTTGAGGTCTCACAGCCCCAGTATGAGTCCATCAGCAAAGAAGAGGCCCAAGAATAGAATGGTTTCCAAGGTTGGACTTGGAAGTGGACACAGAGGGGGCTGGACCACACCCAGAGCAGGGTGGGGGCGGGAGGGAGAGGTGAAGGGTGAAGGGAGGTCAGGAGAGTTGGAATGGTTTCCCCATTTCTGCCCCCAAACCAAGGTGACAAAACTCCCAAAGGGTGGTCAAACCCATGCTCAGCCAAATGGAGAAGCATAGTGGAGGCATCTGGGGGGATTCCTCCTGTGTTAGTGCACTCTCTCCCTCTGTCTCTCAGATACAAGATGAAGAACCACAGGATAAGATACCACAACCTGTCAAAGTAATCAGGCGGAACCGACTTAAGATGGTGAGATGCCCCATTTTGGTCCTTCCTAGTTGCCAGTCTTGTAGTGACCCAAGAGTCCCCAGGCCCAGCTCTGAATGGAGTTGAGCCAAAGTTGAGGTGGGGTGTGGGAGGCTACCCCAAGAAAGCTGAAGCTTCTGTTTTCCTGGTTTCTCGACCCTGGCAGGTATTAAAAAATTTGTCGCTCTTGAAGCTGCTCAAGAGCTCAAACCCCCGGATCCAAGAACTGCATAGCCTGGCCAAAACGTGTTGGAATTCACTGCTCAGAGTTCCGAAGATCCTTGGGATCTCCACTGGGTGAGCTCGGCACACCCCTGGCCCCCACCACAGACCCAATGACTACCTTTACTAGGAACAGGCACTGTCTATCTATGCTGACAAATTTAGAAAACCTAATTTTCACAAAGGCTCTGTGACAAAGGTATTGATTAGCCCTATTTTACTGGTGGGAAGCCGAGGCTCAAGAGACGCAGTGACTTGTCCCAGCTAACAAAAGTGGTAAGTGGCAGAGCTAGGATTTGAAGCCATTCCTGCGTGATATCAGAGTTGTCGTCCTAGCCATGGTCACAGTCATCCAATTATGGGACTAACCACCAACTGGGGCACCACCCAGGCAAGAGGGGCCACTCCTCCTCAAATCCACACAACCCAGAGATTCACCTGCAGACCCGTCATCTTGCTGAGGCTCGGCTTCCTCATAAATCACATCAGAATATTAAGAAAGTTGACATTTATTAGGCATCTGCTAAGTACTTCACAAGCTTTTCCCGTTTAGTTAATTCTTCACAGCATTCCTATTAGGTAGACAGAGTTACCCCAGTTTTACATACGATGAAACTAAAGCTTTGAGCGGTAAAATGTCTTGCCCCAAATCAGGCAGATGGTAAGAGGCACAAGCAAATTTGAACCCCGGTTTGTCGGCCTTGAAAGCCTGTGCTCGCCAAGCCACTCTGCCACTTCACTGCCTCCTACTTTGTGGGGCTGGTGTGAGGGTCCCGGGCCTGATGCACAACAGACACTCAGTGGTGGTAATTATCAGTGGTACTGGCATTATGTGGAGCCTGAGTCCTCATGCCGCTCCACACACACTCAGCTAGGACAATGCTGTGCTTTACAGAAGACTCAGTCTATTACACACACCCTTGGGGCAAGTCTCCTTCTAGCACTAGAAGGCTAACGCCCCCCCTCGGAGCTCCTTTCTCTGAGCTGGCCACCTCGGACGCGCGGGCAATCAGTTAACACTGGGCTGGAAGGGTCAGGCCTCTCTCGTCCCATAGTTTTCCAGCCTGTTTAAAGCAGCAGAACCTCTCTTCGAGTATCCTTCCTCAGGCCCCAATTGTGTTGGGCAGAAAGGTATCCTGCCCTCACCCTGCCCCTCCCCAGGGTGGGGAGGGCATTTGAGAGGTCTCCTCAGAAACTTAAGGTTTCTTGGAGCACAGTTTGAAAACACTGGACTAGTTCACCCCATCAACTGAAATCCAGAGAGGCGGAACCCTGGCCAGTGGCCCACACAGACAACATCTAGTCCTAGGTGTCCTAACCACTGGCCACTGCCTCTTGCCTCCCCAGCCAGGAGGACTCCTTCCCCAGGCCATTATCACCTCCCCTGCCTCCAGGCACAAGGCCTCTGGGGGTGAAGTTTCTTTTCCGGGCCTCTGCAGCTTTCCCCCCTGAGCTGGCTGCATAGCAGTGGTCTCAGGGTGGGGCCGGGGGACCAGGGCCCTCATCCTGCTCTGCTGACTGCCTTCCCTCCCTGTGCTAGGAGCAGCAGCGTCTGCGATAGAGTGGAACAAGATAACGAAGAGCTCCAAGAGGCTGGATGCCCCAGGAAGATACCGGAATTAGAGTGCCCAGGGGAGCCCCAGGTGGGGTTGGGGGGGAGGAACAGGGCGCACCAGCCACCGGTGGCAGTGCACCAGAGCGAGGAGCAGGTGGAGCCTGAGCTCCCAAGGACATCGAAGGGTCATGACCTGACCACTTACCCTGGAGCCCAGGGGAAGCAATCACCCACTGGGGATGCCCGCATTGTCTTCCTGAAGACCTACCAGCACAGAACTCCCATGGGGGACAAGAAGCAGATGGAAGCAGCTGACCAGTGGATCTGGTTTGAGGGGCTGCCCACACGAATCCACCTCCCAGGGCCTCGGGTGATGTGCAGATCATCCGCCCTGCGCTGGGTCAAGCGCTGCTGTACCCGCTTCTGCTCTGCATCGCTTGAGCTACCTATGTGCCATCCATACAGAGTATGACAACACCACTGCCCGGCTGGGGTGAGACACAGGCCGAAGCCAGGCTTGGAACTGGGCCTGAGTCAGAGGCTCAGGATCCAGACTCTTGGGGGCTGTGGCTAGCTAGCAGTGCTAGGGGGAGACCCCTCCCTCAGGCCCAGAGAGGGGGAAACCATTGATGGAGTCCACACAGCAGGGTGGTGGGTAGGCTGGGGCCTCTCGAGATCCAAACAGGGGCTCTGGGGAGGGGCACTGGAAGTGGGGGTTCTGAGGTGGGTCATCTCACTGCCTGGAGGCCTCAGGAGGGTCCACAATTGCTATGGCTCAGAATCTCAGTCAGGAGTCTGAGTAAGGGAGTTCAGGGATTTCCAAATGTTGGGGGAAGGGGGAGCAGTCAAGTAGAGCTCTGCCATATCCCATCCCCTCTTAGACCAAATCACCACCCCACGTTTCATTTATTTATGCTTCAAATAAGATTTACTCTGAACAAAAAGTTGCTTAGCAAAAAAGAAAGAAAACAAAATACTCCACCCTTCCATGAGAGAACTGAGGTCCCAAGAGAGGAAGGGATGAAGGGCTTGGGGGTCCCGCTGAAAGGGAGGCTTGCCCTTCACAAAACCCGGATGCCCAACCTGCAGGACTTCAGCGGGCCCTGGTCCCTGAGCCCTCTCCCCATGCGGCAGCGCCCCCTGGCGGCCTTCTTAGCTCCTAACACCGAGGTCTCTGCTCACAGGTGGCGTGACCTTGGACGGGAGCCAGAGGTGTGAGGTGAGGGTGGAGATGGCGCAATCATCTAAGCGGGAGGGATGGGCGGGCAAATTCACGAGTCTACAAATAAAATCTCCCATTGGGAACTGAAGAATAGTACTGCCGGCTCTGCCTGTTTGGGGCTGGAAAGGATGGAGGGAGGAAAGAGGCCCTCGACCGAGGTGGGGAGGGAAAGTGTGCATCACCATTTTAGCTTTCTTCCACCCCATTCCCAGGCCCCTAAGGTCAGTCTAGAACGTGGCACACAGAAACCAGCAAGCCGCACCCCTCCCCACCCCTGCGAGCTGGCCTCCGGAAGAGGACACTTTATGAAGTCATAGAAGGTACTTTCTGGGTGCCAGATGCTTCACAATGGCCCTGCAAGCCAACAAGGTGAGAGACCGTGGCCCCGAGACAGAAGGTGACTTGGCCAGGCTCACGCGTCTAGGAGGTGGCGGGGCCAGAACTCTAATCTAAAACTGCTGGCTGCTCCCCATTCCATTTTCCGAAGAAAGGAAAAAGGCACAAGGGAGCATCCATCCAGCCCGTCATTCACGTGCATTGCGCCCCGTTATTGCAACGTTGGGTGTCAACAAATGGGTGTCACCTTGGCCTCGAAATGTGTCCCGCCTGGGTCGAGGAAAGCACCCAGTCAGGCCCAGTGTCCGCACTTCGACTCGATAGCTCCCGTGCGACACGACATGCCCAACCCCCAATCCCGAATCCCGGTCGACACCATCGAGTTGGGGTCGCCCTCTGTCGGCAGGAGCCATAGCCCTGAACGTGCAGCTGGGGAGAGGAAAACCCAGGGAACCCGGGCCTTCTGGGGATCTTCCCCTGGAGGCAGGCTGCACGGAGTGGCACCCTCAAGAAAGCAGCGCAGCCATCAAGGGGTGCAGAGCCTTCCCGGGAGGAACCCAGGCCGTGGTGGAGATGGCCGGTGCGGGAGGAAGATGGGAGGGGTTCCCCCGAAACGCACCGCATTAGCCCTGGGCAGCGCCGCCAGCCTGAGCCTGCCGGCGCGGGGCTTCTCGGGGCTGCCCAGCCCGGCTTGGCTCCTGCGAGCCTACGCGCGTCTCCCCCGCGTCCGCCCACCGCGCCGCTTCCCGCGCCGCCTCCACCTGGCAAGCTCCACTCCAAGCTGTCTTCCCGCTGGTCTTGCACTTCGGCCCAACTCCTGGGTAGTCGCCATTTCGGTTTCCTTGCTGGGGCTGGGCATCATCAGTCCCAGCAGTCTTCGAAAATCACCCCTACTCGCTCTTTCACCCTCGGCACCCTCCTTTCCGTCAACCTTTGCGCGAACGTCTGTCTGTGCGCGCTATGCAGGCTATCAGGGCAGCGCGCTCCCAACCAAAACACACCGGCTTGGCGACCCCCTGCACTAGTCTTCCTGGGAGCCCCAAGTGGGGACCTGAAAGGCGTGGGCCTGGGTAAGATTGGCAGCTTCCACTTTGCCACAAAGGGAGACAAGAGTTGGGCCCAAGAACAGCAGTTGGATGGGCCGTGCCTGTGTGCTGAGGCTAGGATCCCTCATGTCCAGAGCGCCACTGGGGGTAGGGGCAAGGATGCAGGCTACAGTGTGAATGACTCCCAGCAGTGCACTCTTTCCAGCCTTACCACCCCCACCCCCTGACCTGAGCCGGCACTTGGGCCTCAGACAACCTGCCTCCCACGATCCCACAGCTGGGGCCCTCCCATTACCACCTTCCCTGTGCTTGACTACTACAATCTGAGGCTCCTCTTCTGGGCTCAGTTAGATCCTGCTTTGGGCAGGAGGCTGCAACAGATCTCAGTGATCAGAGGACACCACCCCCAGAAACGGCTCCCTACCAGTTAACTCGGGGGAAAATTAAAATGTTTGATTCAGAGTGACTTTTAAGAAGTCACATGACCTCTCTGAGCCTATTTCATCCGTTCATAAAACAGGGATACTAGTATCAATTCCACAGGGCTTCCAGCAAATCAGGCTTGATATAGGTGAAGCCAGTTTGTGGGGTGTTGGACAAATGTCTGTCCTTTTCCTGCCTCCTCCCTGGCCCTGTGCCACAATAAAGCTCCTTGTGTCTCTCATGAGCACCCACCTAACTGCTCACCTTTAAGGGAATTAGCTGCTTGTTAAAAAGCCAATCTTATGTTCACATTCACAACCTTTTGCTATAATGACATCTGGATTCCAGAGACTGTCCCTCTCCTATTCTGGATCACTTACCACAAAACATGCCTGGAACGTGAAGAGGATGAGGCTGTTGAGGCAGAGAGGCCTAGCTTCTCATCAGCTCTGTGATGTTAGGAAAAGTTTATTCCTAATCTTCAGTTTCTCTGTCTGCAAAATGGGAAAATAATGGTACCTATCTCATTGGATTAATTAAGAATACACAGAAGTCACTCTGCAACGGATGACACATAGGAGCACAGTACTTGGTAGCTGCACCCCGATCACAGGCAAACCTGTTCCCCAACTAACAGGTGCAAACACTGAGGCTGGGAAGAAAGGTGTCTCCTCTGTAAAAAAGAGGAGAGATGCGTCAGTGGCCCAGTAACTTTAACTGCTTAGATTTCTGGATCACTTCCTACACACCAGGAACTGTGCTAAGCTTTACACTAGCTATCTCACTGAATCCTCACAACACAGGGAAGTACTAGCTTATCCTCATTTTACAAACAAGGAAACCAAGGTAAGGGGAAGTCAAGCAGCTTATCTAAGTCCTCACAGCTAGTAACAGGGCCCAGGATTTAACCTTGCACTCCGCTCTCTTAAGTCCCATAGCCTTGTGGCCCTGCCTTTTTTTTTTTTTTAAGTAGGCACCACACCCAGCATGGAGCCCAGCACAGGGCTTGATCTCATGACCCTGAGATCAAGACCCGGGCTGAGATCCAGAGTCGGATGCTTAACCGACCAAGTCACCCAAGTGCCCCAGGCCCCTACAATTCTGTCTTGCCCATAGCATAGCAGGACAGGGATCCAAACTCTTAGCAAACTCTACCCATTCCTGTCTCAATGCTGTTTTCACCACCACTTGCTACTCTCCTACAGAAAACCTCAAGCAAGGCTTTAATTCCCTCTCCACAGAGGGCCTCTCTTGTGCCCTGAATCTGCCCATACTCTACCTGGCCCTGAAGCTCTGTGTTCCTTGTGCTACAGATACAGGGAGGAGATCCATGTCTGTGCACGGACTGCCCCCTGGGACTGCCAGAGGAAGCTACTCTTATCAGGGAAGTCACTGAGCAGCTGAAAGTGCTTCCAGAAAAGACTGTTTGAATCGTGTACCCCATAGAATTCACGGGGGCCTGGAGCTTCCCACCCCACCCCCTGGTATCTGCTGGCTGCCATCCCGGCCTCCATTTGGCTCTGATCTGGACAGGGCTGCCTAGAACCGGCAGCTAGGGGCACTCTCTGAGCTAGATATCCCTTTCTCCTTTCCCAATTTCTCTTCGGGTCATAACTTTTCTGTGTACCAGTTATGCACTAGTCTCCACTTCTCTCTCCAAATGGAAGTTGAGGTAGTGGAGGGGTAGGGGTGTGGTGGATGAAAGGAGGTGCAGGCTTCAGACCCCCTAGGAAGTCAAGAGATACACCAACTCAGTGTCGGGGTGGAGGTAACTTTCCCTTATCCTTCGGAAATAAAAACATTTCCTACACTCATCCGTTCACTTGGGAATCTGTGGCCATATTTAATAGTCTACCAGTTCTAAGAAAGCTCACAATGTTTACAAAGCACTATATATCCTTTGTATTTAAAGCAATACAGTGGAAGGCAGAGGTGACAGTTTGTAAAATTAAAGAACTTGCACGTCCTTTAACTATTAATGTCTTCAGAATGAGTTTATTGTCAAAGCCAGAGCCCAAATCCTGGGTCTGCTAGTTCCTAACACGTAACCTTGGGCAAATGCCTTAGTTTCCTCATCTGTAAGATATAGATGGTATTTCCTACTTCTGAGGGTTGTTGTGAAGATTAAGAAAATAGCATGTAAAGCACTTAGCCCACTGCTGGACATCTATTAAGCACAGCTATTTATTACCAAAATGATAAACAGGGGTGCCTGGGTGGCGCAGCCAGCTGGGCATTGGACTCTTGGTTTCAGCTTGGGTTGTGATCTCAGGGTCGTGAGATCGAGCCCAACATCGGGCTCCGCACTCAGTACAGAGTCTGCTTGGGATTTTCTCTCTCTCTCTCTCTCTCTCTCTCTCTCTCCCTCCCTAAAATAAATAAATAAATCTTTAAAAAATACATATTAAAAATAAAATAAATAAAATGACAAACATGTCCCTGCCACTGCCCAGTTCTCTCTGGAACTTGCCTCTAGATAGTGCTTTTATTGTTATTTTAGAAAATCATAATTTTGGGGCAGCTGGGTGGCTCAGCCGGTTAAGCGTCTGCCTTCAGCTCAGGTCAGGATCCTGGGGTCCTGGGATCGAGCCCCACGTCAGGCTCCCTGCTCAGTGGGGAATCTGCTTCTTCCTCTGACTCTCCCCCCGGCTTGTGCTCTCTCTCTCTCAAATAAATAAAAAATTTTTAAAAATCATAATTTCATTAAGGTCACACATTTTTTCACCCCCAACTGTCATCCGGTTCCATCACTGTGTATTGTTGGAGAAAAAAAAACATTGGCTTCCCTGACTTCTGGCAATTTCCAAAAACCAAATTACCACTCAAGGGGCAAAGATTTATCATTACAGAAGATATGCAGAACAGGCACAGGTCTCTGAAGGAAACTCCCAAAGATGTGTGCCAACACAGCTGGAGCAACCAGCCCCCAGCTGACCAAGGGAGACAGCAGCCACATGATGTGTGCTCTGGTGATCTTCCCCAAATAACATTAGCCACATGCCTTTGTGGTTTGTGGTGTTGGGGGAAACCCACTAACCCAGGGGAAGTCACCTCAGTTGGTCTTATCTCCTGGACCCTGCAGCCAGGATTCAAGTCCCATTAACAAGCTGCTTCCTTCCAGCTTGGCCACAGCACACCTCTCCCCCACGCCCCCCTCAGCCAGGCACATTCACTCTCAAACCTTCATCCTGTCAGCTTCACCTCCCTACTCTGCAGGGCTATGAAAAAAAGTTTCGTGGGCAGAGAGCAAAACTCATCTGTGACACCCTAACACTACAAGCTGAAAGCTGCCCACACTCTTGGGCAGATTCCCAAGGACCCAAAGAGGAACACTGATGGTTTCAATACAGAAGTGGGTCTACACCAAGTGCGTTCCACTGAACACATTCAGAAATCACTGGCCAGAAAAAGGAAACTCAATCATGGCAGTTCACCCAAGGCAGAGCAGAGGTGGCTGCAGATGGAGGGGGCAGGACACAGGAATTCCCTGCACTTAGTACTTTAACCAAATGGAAGAACAACCTGCGGTCTAGAAGAGAAGGTGGCCTACTCATTCTCTATAGTTTCCCTGTCTGGCTGTGCAGGGCTCTCACTGGCCCAACCACGGCAGGACAAAGTAAGCACAGGCAGAACCGTGGAAAATACTGTATTTATGTACGTAGGAGGGACAGCTGCAAGCCCCTCACAGAGGACATGCCACCCCAAAGAGAAATCTTAGCAGCAAATTCCTATCTCCCTCAGCACTATCAGCGCAACCCAAGTTGGAAGGCGGGGCTTCCTGTCTCTGGGTACCCATCATACCCTTCCCACCGCAGAATTCCCAGGAAGGCAGGAAAAAGGAACTATTGCCAGAAGTGAGGTCTGGAGGGAGCTGGGGTGCCTAGTCATTCCTAGAGAAGAGACAGTGACTCTGTCACGAGGGGTGGACCAGGAGCGATGCTGGGACTCTTCTCTGGGTCCTAGGGCCTGCTCTGTTGAACGCTGGCAGCAGGTGGGGACCCAGCAGAGAGAACTGGAAAAAAGTCAGTCATGGGTTCATGGGTGTGCACACACAGGCGTGTGGCAGGACACAGGTTGTGCGTTTTCCTCGTGCTTGATGCCTCCATCTGCTCGTCCTCTCCCTGACAGCAGCCTAATACTTTGCACCTCTTTCTCTTTCTGTGGCTACAGATCCAGAAACTGCACGTTTCTCCAAACAGAATAGCTGCAGTTCAGCAACATGGCAAAGGTAACAGCTGTCCCTGGAAGGTAAGACAGATGACTAGAAGAGTGGTTTGCGCCAATCAGATATCCTTGATTTGGTTCTTTTTTAAAATAACAGGCTGGTGACAGGTATGGTGGCTCAAGAATGACATGGTTCCAATTCTGTTATTACCCTGACAGAGGTCCCCTTGCTGACCTCCCAGACAGCAAGGCTTCAGCCGACAGAGGCCATTCTTGCAGTTGTGGTCCTGACTGCTACCTGCCTTCTTGATGGGGCCTCACTATCTCTCCCACACCAACAGAGACTTCACATTTCCAGGGTTCCTCTCAGACCTGGGCTGGACCTCGACTGGAGGGTCTGAGCAGCCCAAGGTGTTGGGGGGTGGGGCCAAGTGCCCAGCCGGGTGTCCAAAGGACCCGATTCTAGACATTGGATTTAGGGGCTGAGTTGAGGGGGATCTCCTTGAGCTCCGTCCGCATGCACAGGTACTCCCCGATGACAGCCATGAGTGCAATGCACACGGCTTGGACCAGCCACCAGGTCAGCGCCGAGGGGAAACGGGAGCTGTAGAACCAGCAGCCCAGGAGGTGAAAGAAATGGACAGTGACAGTGAAATCCAGACACTGCTTCCCTCGCCGGATGAAGTACAGCAAGCCCAGGGCACTGTGGGGAGAGGACAGCAGTGAGTTGTCACTGGGTCGTCCTGGCCTTAGATCATTTGCGGAGTAGAGACAATTAGGATAACAGCATAGTGGTCAGAAGCAAATAAGAGAAGTGTGAAGCAAGGGTTACATTATTAGATGCCTAGAGAGAGCTAGCAGGTAACGCTGGGAGGGAAGAAAACGCTGGGTAGAAGAAAAACAAAAGTACAAGCTTGATGAGAAATAGTAACTGTCACTCAGGGGAATCCCAGGGACTGGTGGAGATTGCAGCACCCTGAAGCATACATGGGCCACTGAAAGTGGGGACAACAAGCTACTTGTAGCTGGGCAAATCCTCACGCTGGAAGGCTGGCCTGGAATCAAATGATCTTTCCATTTTTCAAGAGAAGCCAGAAATCTGGATATTTTTTTTTAATATATAAAATATCCTGACTTTCAACTAAGTGGAAAAATGTTTCAAACACCACTTGTGGGATGCCAAACAGAACATATCTAGGAGCCAAATTCAGGTCATAGTCAGCCCACCCATTTTTAATCCCAGTGTAAGGTCAAGAACAGTAATGTGCAAGGTGTTGTTCTAAGTACTTCCCATGAATGAATTCATTTAACGCTTACAACTATGAGATAGGTAATATTATTTGCCTCATTTACCTGATGAGGAAACCGGGGCCTAGATGGATCAACTTGTCGAAAGTCACTAGACTAGTGGGAAAGCTGAGATTCAAAGCCAAGATCTTAATCACTATGCTAAACTGCCTCTGCAGAGGCAGGCAATGGTCACAAATGGCCTTAAATGTTACCCAGTCAAACCCCTCAGGTGTACCGACCAAGAGCCCAAGGCCTAGAGAGGAGGGAAGTAATTTGGCCAATGGCACAGGTATCAAGAACAGAACCGACTTCTCCTGACGACCGGTCCAATCCCTTCCTCACCTCGTTCCACAACAGGGAAGTGATCTGAGATGGAAGCTATCCCACAGGCAGCATGCAGAGTGATGTTAAGAGCTTTTCAGCTAAGGCAAAATCGTGATGGAAGGAGCCCTATAATGCAATCAGTCCCAGAACTGGCCTTTGCCACCCACTTTCATCCACCACTCCCCAGGAACAAGTGCCAGCCTGTCTCATGTCTGGATTTAGGAAGTTAGTTCCAGTGTTGGGACCCCAAAAACTGGAGAGCAAAACTGGTGATACTCACCAGGTGAGGGCGTTGAGGATGAAGGACATCATGGAGAGCCGGCCTGGTGGGGTGGAAAAGCCCAGGATCTGAGGGGGAATCACAAATGGAAATATGCTGGAAAAGTGACTTGGCTTGGCAGAGCTCCAGGCTCCAGGACCTCCTAAGGAAAAAGCATTCTTCCCAGAGCACAGAAGACCACAGGGCCCTACGTATGTATGGCAGCCTATTTCCAACATGGCGCTTTCACAGACATCCACTAGGGTATCTCGTTTGACCCCAAACAGCAGCCGGGAAAAGACTTACAAAGGAGAAACAAAAGTTCAGAGACATTAAGAAACTTGCCCAAAGTGATACAGTAAGTAAACAGCAAGACTACGGACTATTACAGGGTTTGGCAAACTGAGGCCCCACCAATCAGACACCTAGTTTTGTAAATAAGGTCTTATGGAAACCCTACCATACCTATTTGCTTAGGACTATCTCTGGCTACTTTTGTACCACAATGGCGGAGTCGAGTAGTTGTGACCTAAAACCTTTACTATCTTTCCCTTTAAGGAAAGGTCTGCCAACCCCTGGTCTAGAACCCAGGTCTCCAGGTCGTGTGCATGAGATGGCTCTTCAACAAAGCCCAGGATTCCCACAGGCCCTTCCCAGGAGGACAGAAGCTCCTAGGAGACTGGGCACCCAGTGTGTGTGCAACTTCCACCACTCTCGAGACAATACTACTGAATACCAAACATCTGCCCAGCACTGTCAGTTTACAAAGGCCTCTGACTTTCATAATCTCCTGTAACCCTCACAACAACCTCGCAGAGCTATTGTTATTACTGTTACCTCTTTTCAGATAATACCTTGCCCAAGGGCTACACAGAGAATAAGCAGCAGGTGCAAAGATTCCATTCCCAATCTCCTGGCTCCGAGAGCTGGGCTCATTACCATACAACACAGCTGCTTCTCAGATGCAACCATCTCATAGCCCTCCATTACTTGATAAAGCACTTTCATCTTCCTAGGTACCTCTGGGGTCTCTGGGCCTCATAACATTTTTCTAATTATTCTGTCCAGTTTCCGGCAGAGAAAATAGGCTCAGAAAGGTGAAGCAACTTGCCCAAAGTCCCATGGCTAGTATATTTGGACCTAGATTGGACGCTAAACCTTCCTGAATCCAAAGTACAGACTCTTTGTATTGCAGTCCATGAGCTCTGCTACTGGTCTCACGATTTTGCAGACAGGAAAACTGAGGTTTAGAGGGGACAACAGTTGCCCCACATCACACAGGTAGTAAGCGTAATTTTAACTGAGGTCCAATTCCAAACTCTAGGCAGTTTCCATAATACCTCCATGAATGCTCGTTTATCCACCCTCCCCTCTCCAATTTGGCACCTGAGAATCTGGGGCCAGGAAAATGAAGTCACTTTTTCAGAGTGTCAGAGAGGAGATGCATCAGGTTGCCTGGAACACAGGCTTATTCTTTATGATATCCAGGTCCTTTCCTTTGTACTAATAATCTGCCTCTGTTGTCAGTGGTTTCATTCTATGGATGGGGCACCTGAGGCTCAGAAAGAAGAGGTACCTTTCCCAGGGTCACAAAGTGAGAAGGTGGTCCAGGCACGTCTAGATCCCGGGCGGGGGGGTCGGACCCACAAAAACACCCCGCGAGGCCGAGGCTCCGCCCGCACCGGCCAGGGTACCCTACCTCGGCGTCGAACATCTGGTCCAGCGAGGGGGTGCTGCGCACCAGCCCGTCCACCAGCGCCAGCCACAGGCCCAGCGAGCCGTAATAGACGGTCTGCATGAGGACGATCTGCGACAGGATCAACAACGGGTCCCACACGTAGCTGCGGAACTGGCCCGCCATGCCGGCCCTTGGGGCCCGGCCGCCACCCGGGGCCTGGGTCAGCGCCGCCGCGCCATGGGTCCGGGGCCGCCCTGGCACCTGCGAGGACACACGCCGGGCCTCAGCCAGCCGGCCGTCACCATGGCAACGCCGCCCCGCCCGGGAGGAGGGACTGAGACAGAGGCGGCGAGCCCATTCCGGGAGTGGGGGTGAGGGCGGGGCGGACAGACCCATTGCCAGAGTGAGGAGAAATCCTGCCCATTCCGGCTGCTCAGGCCCGCCCGTCCGCAGGCTCCTTTGGGGTTCACTCACCGGTGACGGACTCGAGGGTCGAAGCGTCCGAGCGCGGCCCAGTCTCACCGGCTGGCCCCCCAAACCGCGATGACAGACAGGACCATGGAGGAGAAGCCCTACCGGCCTAGAGAGGCAAAGGTCCAGCGACGGCGGCAGCAGCGGCAGCGACGGCGTAGGAAGAAAGTGTTTCCGGGGACGGCGGTGGAGGGGGCGGGGCCGAGAGTGCGCAGGCGTAGTGGGTGCAATCTTTGGCCAAACCACCTAGACCCGCGTACCGGCCGCCGGGAAGCGAAGTGTGCACATGCGCAAGATGAAGAGTGAAGGCGAACGGGAAGTGAGGCACGGAGCGGTAGAGCTTGCGTGCCCTCTACAGGGGAATCTTGAAGAAAAGGGGGGCAACCTGGAGAGTAGGGAGAGGGGTGGGCAAGAACCAGAGAAAGATGTTTAGGAATTACGGAGTCTCTAAATGTAGATTGTGTTTTTTGTCTCCTAGTTAAAGTCTGGGATAACTTTTAAGTGAACCAGCCAGCCCTTCCACACAGGGCTTTGCCACTGTTCCCGTTTTTACAGATGATTAAGGGTCGGAGAAGGAAAGCAACGTACTGCCTCAAATACATAGAGTTAGTGACAGTCAGGAGTAGAATTCACGAGCCAACATCGCAGCGCTGATTTCGTGTTACTGGGTGCCAGGAGGGTTTGGACACGTACGAATCCCTGCCCTCTGACCCAACCTAATTATTAGGAGGCAAAGTAGTGGGTGCTTTATAACATGGGTTTCCGTTTATATTTATATATACATATATATTTAAAATAGAAAAAGGACAGGTTCTGAAGTCATACCTGGAAGCCGATTCTGACCCTGCCTGCCACCGTAACTGTTTTGTCTCCGCCTTCTCCTCTGAGTCCACATAGTGTACACAGTCGGTAAATATTTGCTGAATGAGTCAAAACAGAGAAAGAGTAACAGCAAATTGATGAATCACTTTATTCCTGGCCTAGCCGACCCAAACCCCTCAACTTCATTGAGCCTAGATCCCCCTTCTCCAGAATGGAAAGAAGGGAAGTAACTGATTCCAGGGAAAGAACGTGGATTTTAGAGCCAGCTCTACTAGCTGCTCAACTAGCAAGCCACTTCCCTCTTTAAACCCCAGCTTCCCTGATTATGAAATGAGGACTTAGACAAGATTAATGTTTGCCAACATTCAATATACCCTCCACTAATTAGTTCCCCATTAAAAACACCTATCAAAGACACATGTAACTGCCAATCAGAACTTCTGAACAGCATGTGATAATCATATTACCACCTTGAGTTGATAACAATTCCAGACAAAAGTAAGGAAACGTGAGACTTTATCAAGAGTAAGTATGTGGTTTCCCTTATCATTTAGAAATACTGTAAACAGTTCCCTTGGACTCCAGTTTGGAAGTCATTAAGGCCCAAAGATTTCTGAGGTGCTTTCCAGCTTCACCATTCTTTTAGGCGCCTCAATTCGGATCAACAAAAATATATTCAAATCCCTCTGGTCCACTGATTACCCATATGATCTACTGTTTCTGAGAAAACATCTTCTGCTTATCAAATACATATGTGATCTTGTTTCATCCTCACAATCTGAGAAAGTGGATATTATCCATCTTTTTAAAAGAGGAAACCAGGGCACCTGGGTGGCTCAGTCGTTAAGCGTCTGCCTTCGGCTCAGGTCATGATCCCAGGGTCCTGGGATCGAGTCCCACGTCAGGCTCCCTGCTTGGCAGGAAGCCTGCTTCTCCCTCTTCCACTCCCCCTGCTTGTATTCCTGCTCTTGCTATCTCTCTCTCTGTCAAATAAATAAATAAAATCTTTAAAAATAAAGTGAGGAAACGGAGGCTTAGAAAGGGAGTGTGACTCTACATGGGTAAGGCAGCTCATAAGAAACTGAGCAGGAATTTGAACCCAAGACACCACACTCCAAAACCCAAATAACCATTCCCGAAGGGGAAAAAAAAGAGAGCGAAATAAGTGGTGGAGTAGGGAGAAGCCCAGGAAAAGTGCTTGAGAGGTTTTGACTCAGTTTCCCAAAGCAGCTTGGTCTTCCTTCCAGGTGCCAGAACATTTGGCTCCTCCTGAGTCAGGACCCCACTTGCGTCACAGCTGGGTCTTTTCCACCTGTCATCTCCCACGGACAGAAGGCCCTCCCTACCCATTCTCCCGCAACAGAAAATACAGGTAGCCTGAGGCGTTAGGGCACTGAATAGCTGGGGTCTGATGTCATTCCTGGAGCCTGGAGCTTGCCTCTGGGAAAGCCCCTCGGGCCTGCAGGACAGCCTGTTGCAGTTTCCTTTTACCTGTAGGATTTCAGCTCTTGAATTCCCATCTTTCCAAGCTTGGGAAATGGGGCACCATCCTCTGTCTTAATTTGGGTAAAACAAGGAAACCAAGAGCTGGGGAAAACCACAGTAACTCCCTTAGCCAAACTCCTTGGCCCATTTTGAGAATCTGACCACAGGAAGCCTGGAGAAGAAGAATGATCACAAAGCCTGAACTAGGGCCCCAGTGACCTGCCATGTGACCTTGGGGCAAGTCCCTTGCTGGGTCTTAGTATGCCAAAGTATAAAATGAAGGAGGAGAATTGGACTCCAACTTCCAAATGCAGTCCCTGGCCTTGTGCCATCTGAATCAGCTGAGGAACATATTATATTATCAGATTCCCAGGCCTTGTTGCAAACCAAAGTCTGAATCTCCAGAAGCAGAATGCAGAAATCTGGATATTTAAAGAGCTCCCCAAGTGATTCAGAGGTACAGTCAACATTTGGTAATTACAGAACAAGATGATCTGTAATTGACCTCAAACCAAATCCTCCTTCTAACAGAAAATTGCTCTGTGACCTTGCCATGTCCATGGCTCTTTTTAGGCCTCAGGGTTTTTTTTCCATCTGTAATCTGAGGGGGTTGGACTAGAATAGCTGATCTCCAAGGGCCCTTCCCATGCTGTTGGGTTTGTGGTTCCAAACTTATGAATGAAATTTTAAACTTTAGGTCAGAGACTAAATGACAAACAGCCACAGCTGGGACAAACTGTCCTCCGGGTGCAGAGAAGAGGAGTGCCTCTGGTTACTTGGTCACTTACGTCACTTCCACACTGAACTCCCGCTGTGGGTTTATAAGGTCAACTCTTGTTTGAATCACTTTCCAGATCTATGCACCCCCATATAAGTCCCTTGGGGGATGTCCTCATACAGGTCTGTGGGCTTTGAGCCCCGCTTATATTTGAATCCTAGCCCTACTACTATTTTGCTGGGTGATCTTGGGGAAGCTACTTCATATCTGAGTCTCAGTGTCCTTCTCTATAAAAATGGCGATGAGACTAGTACCCATGACATGGGCTGTCCTGAGGATCAAATATGTGCTCACCCTACTACCACCTGATAGGCAGTCAGCATTATGTAAACGTTAGCAATATTAATTATTGTTATTTCTTCCCTTGGAATGCGTGAGCGGTAACACCTGATCTCTCAGATTTATGGGAAAGATCTAAGTGGATGTCAGATAGAGTGAGCCCAGTGCCTGGCACACAGTAGGAGCTCAGTAAATGCAGTACCTTCTTTTCTTAATCCCACCCCACCTGCTGGGTTCTCCAACTCCCTCTCTTTCTCCCTTCCTCCTTTGCTAGGCTGCCCGCTCACGTGAAACCTTTCAGGGAATGTTTGATGAAACACTTCAGGAGAGACACGTGTCTCAGGGACAGGTTATGCAACTCTGCGCTCACACTTTTCGGAAACTCCACGTGGGAGGTTGCATTTGGCTGCCAGTCCTCTGCATGGGTTCTGGCCAGTGATTTCCTCGCTCAGAAGAGAAACTGGAGAGAAAGAATTCATCATTGTCTGTTTTCTCCTTCAGATGAAGAACACCTCGTTACCCAGAGTATTTTTTTTAGAGAGAGAGAGAGAGCAGGAGCAGGGGGTGGGGGAGGGGCAGAGGGAGAGAGAGAATCTTAAGCAGGCTTCATGCCCAGTGCAGAGCCCGATGCGGGGCTCAGTCTCATGACCCTGAGATCATGACCTGAGCCGATATCAAGAGTAAGACACTGAACTGACTGAACCACCCAGAGTATTTAAGGGCTGTGTGTGCCTTTGAGGAACATTTGCTGAGTTACCCACTGTGTGCCAGACACTTACATGACCTCACTTGATGCGTATTTAATTTCTAAAACAAGCTTGTAAATTGTAGATACAAGTAATAGTCCCACTTAACAGATAAGGAACCCAAGGCTCAGAGAAAGGACACCATTTACCCAAGGCCACACTGCCAGTGAGCAGTAGAGCAGGAACTCCACCCCAGGCCAACCTGACTCCACATGCTACCTCTTCCCAATGCATAGTGGGAAGTGCACTGGACATTACAGTTTACACAGGGCTTTCACCTACATGATCTTCCTATCATCCCAACAGCCCTAGGGAGGTAGATATGTACATTTCCCCATTTTACAGATGAGGAAACTGCAGCTCAGAGGAAGAAGCTCAATGGTCAGTGCTTTTCTGCAAATTGTCTCTCTGTGGAGAGTAGATGCTGCCAGGGACTCTGCAGGTGTCTGGGCCTCCGGGAATATTGTTTCTCTCTCTCTCTCTCTCTCTTTTTTAAAGATTTTATTTATTCATTTGACAGAGAGAGAGAGAGAGAGAGAAACAGAGAGCCCACGCAGGGGAAGCTGGAGAGGAAGAAGCAGGCTCCTGAGTGGGGATCCTGATGCTGGGGCTCCATCCCAGGACCCCAGGATCATGACCTGAGCTACAGGGAGATGCCTAACCGACTGAGCCACCCAGGCGCCCTGGTATTGTTTCTCTTGAATAAAGAACTGTTTTCCAGAGGTTGGTTACCAGATCCAAGACACCCCTGGAGGAAAAAAGGTGAGATCTCCTGAAAACAGTTGCTCTACTCCCCAGGCTTCCTTCCAGAGAAACTATATTCTCTGCTCCTCCCTAGAAATCATTCCTTGCTCCGACGTGAAGAATTCAGGGCTTTATTTTAAAAAAGAAAAGATATTTTCTTCACCTCCCTTTTCATGAATCAATAAATCAATCATTTGATACATACTCACTGAGCATTTACTATGTGCCAGGAACTGAATAAAGTAAATAAAAAGACAAACTCCAACTTCATAGATTGTATATTTTCCCAGAGGAGATGGACAATAAATATAAAACCTACCATCCAGTTGT